CCTCTTCTCCAGCTCTCCCCCACCCCACCCCCCACCCAGGGTTGTATGTGTACCCAGCTCCTCTTCATTCCCATAGCCTCTCCTGAACAGAGTAGAGATAGGTCATGCCCAAGCAGCAGTCCTGGTGAGTAATGTCTGAAGTCCTGACAGCTAAGAAGAAAAAGAGAAGGGATGGGGTTTGGGATGGCAGTGGGTGGGGAAGAGATTTTCACTGGTTGTCATAAAAGGAGGGATTGACCTGGCAGGGGACACATTTGAAGACAGGGCTCCCAGTGTTTCTTCCTACAAAAATACTAGCAGAGTCTGTCCTGTCTACTCAAAGTGACACAACCCTGAGGGTGTATTTGCAGAATCAGCAATGGATGTTCCCATGGAGATTTGTGACTGCAAGGCTCCCTGAGTAAAATCGGTTCTGGGACCTAACCAGTTAACAAAGTGAGTGACCCAGAGACAGCCAAAACCCACCTTAAAGAGCCTCTGCCACAATCCTCAATACCTCTTTAATCCACTAAATATTGGCTCTCTTCAGGCATAGCCTTGTGTGACTGCAGCTGGGTTGAGAAGGTTTGGTAGATGGAAAACCCTAGGCCCCCAAGAAGATGAGGCACCCTGGTTAGCACGTAGGGCACAGCTGACCTGGAGGAGCACCGATATTTAGGATTGGTGCATTCTAAGGGATCTTGTTTGTAAAATCTGACCTACTATAGCAAACCCTTATCAATAACTATTCCTCCTCCTTTTTCATCCTGAATCCTTATCATACTCTGACAAATACAAGTTTCAAACCAGATAAAAAAAAAATTTATTTGGCTTGTCTCCTTGCCTCCAGTATTATAACTATCCTGCCATAAATGGAATTTGTCTTGGTTTTTTTTTTTTTAAAGATTTCTCAAGAAGAATTCTGCAGCCTCCCTCTGTCACCTATTCCTCAACATCTACATCGTCAGTAAGTTGTGCCTCTTTGTGTGAACCTATATCCCTCACGGTGCACCATCAACTGATTTTATATTGTTCTATCCTCAGTGAAGATGAAGAACCATTGACCATCCTTCCTCAGTGAAGATGAATGACAACTGGCCACCCTAGCCTGGGTCAACCTGGGCCAGATCTCAGTCACAAAGGATATTTTAGCCAGCAGTATTCATGGAGAAGTGAGAGATGAAAAACAAGCTGGGTAATCAGTGGGACAAAGAAATGAATATGCCACTGAATTTTATTCTCCTCCTCAGCCTTGGTCCTATAGTCACCCAAAATAAGATCCTCTTCACAATCACCCCCAACAGGAGTTCAGGAAGGAAAAAATCAACCCAAACAAGACATTCAGATATATCAGACTAACACAGAAACAAGAGACCCCAGTAAGAAGAGGTATGAAGCTATTAGTAGGTCACTAGTGGAGGGGTATTACCTTCTAGGTACTCCTGCCCTTGACATGGCCATTGAGCCTCACCTGAATAATTGTGACAAACACATCCCCATCCCACATCAACCCTCTATGTGGGCAGGCTGAGCACCTCAAAAACTCTAGATTTTTCAAAACCAAAATGAGCTCCTTACCGGATATCCCCAGGAGCCATTGCCTGCCTGGAATTTGGAGTAATAGGAACTCCGGCTGGTGGTCCCATAGTTGTAATTGTCAGTCAAACCATCATACATGGAACCTGGAAAACAGAGGTACAAGATTAGGAAGAAGAACAACTCCTTCATGTGTTGTTGAAGGCCACTTACATCAGTTACCCCCTTAAGGACTCACGGACTATCTCCTCTAAGGTCATCTTTACTTTATGTACCACAAAGCCCCAAAGAAAGAAACAATAGAAGTGATGTGTTTGGCATCCTCAAAGAGAAGGCTGAAGATGAGATTATCAGTTAATAGCTGTTATTCTGTTTTTTTCCAGATTTAACAAGCATTTATTAAGCACCTACTATGTGCCAGGTGCTATGCTAAGAGTTTTACAACTATCTCATTTTATCCTCACAACAACCCTGGGAGGTAAATGTTATTCTTATCTCTATTTTGTAGGTGAATAAACTGAGGCAAACAGCAGCTAAGTGTCTTGCCCAGAGTCACACAGCTAGAAAGAAAGGGGCCAGATTTAATCTCAAGTTTTCCTGAATCCAAGTCCAGTGATCTATCCACTGCTCCTCTATTGTCATCTTCAGTAAATATTTCCTAAGCACCCACTATGTTCAGGGCACTAAAAAAGAGAACTCTGGAGCCAAGACAGTAGAGAAATGTAAGTGAGACAAGAAAAAAATTCCTGACCAGAAGGATTGTTTCAACACTCCAAAGAAGTAGTAGAAACTTAGAAAAATCCTTCAAACTCCCCACCCCTCCAATAAAGGATGGAGTGTATAGCAACCAAAGGTCCTTCTAGCCTAAGGAACACACATCACTTTGCAAGATTGAGTCTCCCATATCGAGCTGGCAGCATCTTTCCTCTCCTTTCTAAATGTTCCCTGAGCACTGTGGAACACCCATAAATCAAGTACTCCCACTGGTCCCAGCAAGATTAAGAAAAAAATTTCACAGGGATAGGACTCCCATTGTTATGTTCTTGTACAAGGATTTCAGATCTTAGCTGTTCCTCTGACATTCCATGAGTTTTCTTGAATCGGAACTCAGCCTAATACCGGAGCTAGGGTGTGGCATGGGTTGGGGGGTGGAGGAGTAGCCATTAGCTGGAGCCAGAACTCCTGAGTCTGACTCCTCATGTCATTCCTGACACTCCCAATGGCACAGATAGTATCTGTTTCAGTTCTTCTGTTGGCTGGAAATGTTCTTCACAGACTCTGAAAGAAAGACTCAACCAAGTCTGTAGACTGAAAGGTAGAGGTCATACAAAGCAATGGAGTTAATACAGAAGTTAAAAAATAAAATTCTCCTGCTGCCTTTGAAAGAAGTTCCCCAAGATCAAATCTACAAAAGCATTTGTGGCTCATTAGAATCAAGGACTGGGACGCTGGACTCCTGGTTTCTAATCTCAGAGTCACCCCCCCCTCAAGTCACTGGGTGAGCTGCCAATCCCTTCATCTCTCAGGTCCTCTAGCTGGTGAATTAAGTACAATGTCTACCTCAAAGGGCTCTGCTGAGGATTAATTAATGTTTTCAGAGTGCTTGGAGATCTACAAATGAATGGCTCTTTAGAAGGGTTGAGTCTCATTGGGGTTATTTCTGGGGCAGCCCTGAATCATAGAAAGCAGAGTTAAAACCTGCCAACTTGGTGACATCAACTCACTCGTCTCCTCCCTACCTGAGACCATCCCTACCCACAGCATCTCTCCCTCTTCTGTATTGTCTGCAGCAGGTGAGTATTATGTACTACTTTGTATTGTTAAGTTGGCATAAATATAGATTATAGGTTTAGATTTTTCCATAGAGGACATCTAGTCTAAACCCCTCATTTAAGAAGCCCAAGGAAGAGAAGTGATTTGAGGATCAGTGGCAGGATTTAAACCCAGGTTCTTTGACTCCCCATCCACTGCTCTTTCCACTGGACAATGATACTTCCCTGATGTCCCTTCTTTCAATTAAATTGTAATCTTATTGTAGGCTAGGATCATGTCTTATAATTCCTTGTATCCTTCACAAAGTTTTGCACATAGTAGATGGTCAATAAATATCTGATTTGTTGATTGAAACTCCAACTGGGGAGAAGAATAGTTACCTACTGTGCCAGATATTGTGCTCTAGGTGTTGGGGGTACAATGACAAAAATGTAATCACTCCCTGACCTCAATGAGCTTACATTCAGTAGGGGGAGCCAACATGTCCCCACAAGGAGATACAAGCACCATTTCTCTCTAAAGGAGACTCTGGATTCTGAAACCCATCCCTCTCCCTTCTAGCAGTAAGGGAAGATCCTACTTCCATTGAGTGAAATCAGCCCATCTATATCCCTTGCCCTCCTAGCTCCTTCCAGGGGGGCCTGAAAGATCTCAAACACAGAGAATAATTTCAACATTCCAAAGAAATAACAAAAACTTGGGTGACTCAGTTGCTGTCCATAAAGAGATGGCCCCGAAGGACCATACAACCCCAGAGCATCCTTCTAGCCCAAGGAACAGACAACATCTCTCTGACTTTTCCTAATAACCCACCAACTATTGGTGCCTAACCACTCCAAAACTACCTAGGATTTATTTTACACATATTTATAAATGTACACATTAGCTCCCCTCCTGAATGTAAGCCCATTAAGGGCAGGCACTATTTCTTTTCTAGTCTTTGTAGAACAACATCCAAGTGAGCACAAGAACAGAAGAGTTGCTTTGGAAAGAGAGAGTTGCACATCTGGATAGTCAGGTCAGGAATCCATATCCCTCACCTATTCAATTTAAAGGAGATGGTCAATCAGCTTAGAAGAGAAAGCTCCAGCCTCCAGCTCAGGTCAGCCTTTGCAGGCATTAGGAGGTATCCTCATATTCATTCCTTCCCTTTTCTCATTCTATGGTCCAACCCAATGGGTCTTACTATTCTTCACAAACAATGTACTAGCTCCTGTTTCCATGCTTTTGTTCAGGCTGACATGACCCTCCCATACTTGGAATGTACTCTCTCCTCACTTCCTCCTTTTTAGAATCTCTAATTTTCTTCCAAGTTCAGCTCAAGCTTTACCTTTTACGTGAGACCTTTCCTAATCTCCCAGCTGCTAGTGCCTCCTCACTCCAAAATTACCTAGGATTTATTTCACATATATTTATAGATCTATGCGTTAGCTCTCTTTACTGAATGGTAGCTCATTGAGGGTGGGGAATGGTTACATTTTTGTCTTTGTATGCCCAATCCCTAGAGCACAATGCCTGGCACAGTAGATGCTTAATGAATGCTCACTGACTGATTGATCATTGGACAATAGTTTCCAGCCCCAGTTATGCAGTTTAGAAAGCACATTGTGGGGCAGCTACGTGGTGCAGTGGATAGAGCACCAGCCCTGGATTCAGGAGGACCTGAGTTCAAATCCAGCCTCAGACACATAACACTTACTAGCTGTGTGACCCTGGGCAAGTCACTTAACCCCATTGCCTAACCCCCCCTCCCAAAAAAAAGAAAACATATTGGGCAGCTAGGTGGAGGGCAGCTAGGTGGCACAGTGGATAGAGGGTAGCACCTGGAGTCAGGAAGACCTGAGTTCAAATCTGATCTCAGACATTTGCTAGCTGGATGACCTAGGGGAAGTCATTTAACCTCTGTTTACCTCAGTTTCCTTATCTGTAAAATGGGAATGCTAATAGCACTTACCTCCTAGAGGCATTGTGAAGATCAAATGAGATAATTGTAAAGCTCTCAGCACAGTGCCTGACATATATATACATATATATGTATATATGTATGTATGTATATGTATATGTGTATGTATATGTGTATATATGTATATAAACATATATATACATAGTAAGCACTATATAAGTCTTAGCTGTTATTATTATTATTATCTATAGACTTAACAAGCTAGGAGAGACCTTACACATTATTTAGCCCAGGCCTCTTTACCACTGTATAAATTCTTAGAGGAGAAGTGACTTGCCCAAGGTCATCTTGCCTTCTAGTTCACTGCTTTTTCTATTGTCACATTAATTAGTCACATGACCTTGGGTGAGTAACATCCCCTAAGTAAGCATAAGCCTCTTCCTTGGCAAAATGAAGGAGTTTGATCAGATGACCTTTGAAGTCATTTCTAGCTCTCACTTTAGGCCAATGGTATTCAGGGATGCCTGAATGTGGTCATTAGGATGGCAAGGAAATAGAGAAAGAGGTGCAGAGTTATAGAACCTATGCTTCTGTCTTCTTTCTCCTACACTCCAGTAATGTCACAAAAATTGTCATCAATGCCTGGAAACTCCCCCTTTTAGAAACCCCTTAACTCTAATAAACTCTGCTCCTATGGAGAGGTGTACCCGTGATGGTAGGCATCATGAGACTTGATTGGCCTACCCAACTCCTGAGATTTAGACTTGATTCCAGGCCCTATGACTCCTTGATCTCCCTGTCTCCCATTGTAGTATCCCCTGGAAAGGGCAAGAGGAAATGAAGCCCAGGGTTGGCTCCTGTTAGATTCTGGGCTTTTATTTGATGAGGCCTCCTGAGGCATAACAGGGGCAGGGCTTCAGTTGCCTCCTCTTTGTCTTTCTGGCAGCTTCCATGATTCCCACCAGGGCTTGGCAGGCTAAACATTTGGCTTGGCTCATACACTGTGTAGTCAGTTTTCTGCCAAGGGGCAGGTGTGGGTCAGCCAGCCACTCTTTGGATGGAAAATTTTGGGTGTCAACAGATACACATCTCCTCTGTATCCCACAGGTACAATCTTCAGGCCAAGAGAATCCAGCAATCCAAGGCTCTTGGAGAGAGATGACTTCCCATTAAAGTTCTTCCTCTCAGAAAGGAATCTGTCATTAGAAGTTGGTGATGGCAACCCCTTCCCTAGAAGTCCTCCACAAAAGAACACCCACCCCCACTCCCATCCCAAACTGATTTCTCCTTCCAATTTAAGAGCTCAGAGTATAAGTTTCTCCACAAGCCCATGACGCATGCCTGGCAGCTGGGGGAAGGGAAAGGACAGAAGCTGATTGAGCCTGAGCTTTGAGCTCCTTTACCGGCTATGTCTTTAGCCCCCAACTTTTCCCCTCAGCCTCACAAGACTTGTCTCTACTCTTTACTTTG